TATATGTGTGTGTGTTTGTGTGTGTGTGTGTGTGTGTGTGTGTGTGTGTGTGTTGACTTACAATTATTTGAACAACCCGTCTGTCACGGCCGAGCGGGTCTGTTTCACTTTCACCAACACTAAGCAGCTTAAAGGAGGACAGCAGTAACCCTGCAAACTGCAAATTTACGGTATATGTCTCTTCAACCTTTTCCCATTCGTTATAAAGACGGAAGGCGATGAGACTAAATTTCTCTGAGAGGCATATATATCCGTTAAATTTTTGCAGGGTTTCTATTTAGGCAATGAGGCACCTTACTGTTGGGATCTCTATGTCTGTTTATTGTGTAATTATGGAACATAGCATTATAATTATCTGTTTCAAGGCTTTAAACCGTCAGCACATCAGTTGCGAACGAGTTGGATTAGGTGGGGGTAGTAGAGGTACAGTGGCGGCAGTGCAGCAGTGCTGTACAAAACCAAGTTAAACTGCCATATTTTCAACATTGTCATGTAACATTACCCCGTTGCTATTCATTTTTCTCACAGCCACTGGAAACAGTAATGTAGTTCAATCTGACTCCAGGTGACTGGGAGGTCAGGATTTCACTCTGCTGTGGTTTTTACTAATCTGGTCCTCATGGGAAATGGGGTCTTCCTTCAGGTAAAACAATACAGCTTTTGACCACTGGGGGGAGCTATAATCGACCATAATAAAAGTTCTTAGGTGCTCCTTTAATTAATTTAGTGTTTTTTAATTAAATCAGATGTATTTACTTCATTTGGTTCCTAGTTTAATTTTTTCCCCCAATGTGTTTCAGAACAACAATCAGATAAAGATATTATTCAGTGACAATAGAAGTAAACACAAATACTGTTTTCTAATGCTTTTATTATTAAGGGAGAAAGAAAATTCTCAACAATCGCGCCTTTTTAACCACTGTATATAAAAGCCAAATTAACATAATGTGAATATTTTCAGAAGTGGCTTAATATTACTTTGATTAACATATATGTTTAAAATGTAATCTGTGCAACTTAAAAATAGTTTAGAACAAACAACTATTGTGTTGTAAGCAAAAATCACAGTATTAGCCTTTACAGTTATCTTCTAGTAATTTAACTTATTACATTTTTATATATTCTTCTTGTGTTGTATGGGAGAGAGCCCCTTGTCCTTAAAACCTGATAACAGATGTACTAATATTTATGTTTCGTAGGAAAACACTGTCACAATGTCTGAAGAAGATCAGCCAATGGATATTGACCAGAAACCTGATGAATTTTACTTCGGAACAACGAACCCCCAAACACCTGACTCCAGCGGACTTGACTCCAAAGGACCCGACTTCAACAGACCTGACCTCAACCAATCTGACTTCAACCGACCTGACTCCACTGGAACTGACTCCAACGAACCGAACACCAACGTACCTGACTTCAACAGACCTGACTCCTATAGATCTGACTCCAACAGAGCTGACTCCTATGGATCTGACTCCAAAAGACCTGACTCCAAAAGACCTGACTCCAAAGCACCTGACTCCAAAGGCTCCAGCTCCAAAGAATCTGGCCTTCAAGAACCTCAATCTCAGGTTTACTTTTCTATGATTTGTATTATTAGAGCTGTAGCTGTTCATTTGTCTGTTTAAAGGCTGTGTAATAAAGACATAAATGTGTGTTCTCAGTTAGTCACACAGCAAAAATATATTTTAATTAATCACTCATCTGAATAGTTAAAAAAGACAACTAAGCATATAGAATTGGATCTCAAAGGTAACAAAAAAAATTTGGTTTTCTCTGCCCTGAGCAACTCGATGTGTCAGCGTCGCTCTGCTCTTTGACTGCAGACACAGGCTGCAGCTGCTGTGCCACTGTGTTTTGGAGGAGGGAGGGGCTCGCTAGCTTTACATGAAGATGGTAAACTCAGTGTGATCGGTGCTATCATGTGTTGTTACAAAAGTCTCACACAAGACAAAGAAAAGGAGCTAGATTTGTCAGTAGTTGTTTAAATAGAAAAAAAGGTTTGTATAAGGGTCTAAAAAGGCAATAAAATAGGCTCTGAGTTGGCAACAAGGCAGAAGGGGCATCTCTGGTTTTCTTTATACTGCTGGGCAGCAGGGGGTGGACAGCTGCATGACGACTAGACGCCACATTTTTAGACGCACCCAGAAATCCTGAAACAGGAATATTAAAAATTAAGTTAAAATCTGTTGACACAGTACAACCATAAAAGGTTGGGATACTTTTTACACATGTAGTACAATACATATATGACGTTTTTAACGTTTTTGGGAGATAATAGGGGAATTCTTTTTACACAGTAAGGGTGCATTTGAAGTATTATCTTTACAACTGGACTAGTAATTGATAAATTAAATGACTGGTCCCACCAACTCCTGCAAGGCGTGTTTTGCCTGCTGCTACTAAATTATATTAATAAAGATTAACTTGACTATGTCCAAAAAGGCAGATATGATTTAGAAAGGGTTAGGAGTAGGTTATAAATGTTGACAGGGATCCAGGTGAAGGAAGTGCACTAAATATATGAGAGAGGTAACTGTTAAAGATACCAAGAATCAAGAAAAGCATTGAGATATTTTTTTAAATCAACATTGTTATTGATGAGCTTAGTATGTTGATTTGCTTTGATTTCGCGTGAAGTTGAAGAAAATTATTCTGTCACATGGGATCTTAATAAAAACAGTTTTTTGGTTGTATCTTAAAAAAAATGTCAAGGTATACAAATGTTTTTACATCATATTTTATTTGATTTCTTTGTATCATGTCAAACTTTTTCATTCTAAATTTTCAGGCTTCTCCAGAGCACCAGGATGAGGTATTTCTAAATCTGTCATTAGACTGGGCGGAAAAAGAGAAACCAGCAAAGGAAAAGAATTTCCTCCAAAAATCTCTTCAATCTTGGTTCAACAAAAGAAACATTACAACTGATTGCACAGTTAAAGATCCACTGTCAGATGGGCGTGTTGTGGTTCAGCTTAAACCTCCTCCAGGTGTGGGGAATGTCATTTTCTAAACCCTCTGATAATCTGCTCCCATAGCAACTGAAGACATGTTAACAGGATTATGGATTTTCAGATTTTGAAACAATTAATTATGTGTTTCAATTTTTCTAGCCTCAATTGAGCTTCAGAAACTACAGGGTGAAACATTAATGAAAGATGGGACAAAAGTCACCATTCTTTCAGTCAGTTTTGGAGCACCGAAGATGGATGCACAAACTGCAGATGGTGCTTCAGCAAATACTGCTCCTTCAGCTGCTTTAAAAAGCTCCAAACCTTTGGTGCCAGAGCAGGCAGTGGTATGACCTCTAAACTAAATGCATTTTTTTTCTGCAACATTTGCAGAAAAATATATATTCTATTCAACCTGCTATACTTTTTATTTAGGTGGAGATGCAGACAGAAGAACAGATGGATGTGGGAGGAAATGCTCCTAGAGACCATAGAAAGAAATCTATGGAATGTGTTGTCCCAGTGGCTCATTACTGGTATGTGAGCCAGATCTACAAAGATGAAATCAGACGCATAGAGAAAGAAACTAAAGTTAGCATAATGCCAACTGTCACTGTGGCATTTAACACTGAACATGAAGGTGGGAATCCAAGTGAGGCTCTCAACAGGTTTGCAGATCTCGTCCAAAATTGTTTGTCTGATTCCACTTCCTCAGTTATTCCTCTGAAGTCTGTAGATCCTAATCGGTGGGGTGATGCACTGAAAGTCATTAATAACAATGACAGCAAGCTTTTAGTCACCATGTCCTCTGAGGAAATGACTTTCTGTGGGCCACAGCTTTATAAAAATTTTCTCAGTTCAACTTTAAATGCATCACAGAATTTCAACTCTCCTGAAGAGCCAGCTAGGTCAGCAAGATCTCAAAACTTAAACGAAGAGCTCCGCCTGAAAATCAAAATGACAATCAAAGATAATCTGACCGATACAGGACTAACCATAGCTGAGAACTCATGGAAACGCTTCATCTCTTCCTATGATAACAAACTTGCAAAGATCAAAGCTAAGTTCAATGTGGACTTTAACGTATCCACCATCAGTGGGGGCAAAGTTAATGTCAAAGCGTTCTACAAGAGACCTGGAGAAAACCCAGCCATGGAGAGCCATGCTGTCAGAGCTCTGCTGCGTCTGTACCAGAAGATTATGATGTCACCCATCAAGCAGCCTCCACCTTATGGTGCCACTGGGCTCAGTGGTTCTGAAGAGGCTTCCAGCAGAGCTAGACTGAACGGTCATTCAACACAGAACAGCAAAGAATCAGCTAGAGGGGGCGCTACAGGTGACAGCAAAGATGACCAATGCTGTATATGCATGTCTGAATTTACTAATAAGCAACAGCTGAAGTGTAAGCATGCATTCTGCAAAGACTGCCTGCAAAAGGCAGTGCAGCACAGTGGACCAATCTGTCCTATATGCAAAGATGTGTTTGGTTTGGTCAAGGGAAACCAACCTGATGGAACAATGAAATGGAAAAAACATAAATATATAGACCTCCCTGGATTCCCAGGCTGTGGCCACATAGAGATCACCTACAATATCCCTACAGGATTACAGAAGGTAAAGTACCACCTCATATTCCCTATATTAAGAACTTAACATGTATTTTTGAAATGGCTATCACTTACCAGACTTTTACTATTCTATCTGGCAGAAAAATCATCCCAACCCTGGACAGTACTTTGCAGGAACCACTAGAACAGCATATCTTCCAGGCAACAAGGAGGGGAATGAAGTTCTGCACCTGCTGGAAAAAGCCTTTGAGCACAAGCTGATTTTCGCTGTTGGAGCTTCTAGGTTATCAGGTTGGGAGAATAGAGTGACCTGGAATGATATCCATCACAAGACATCCATGACAGGAGGACCAGAGTGGTACGGGTATCTGATTTGATTCCTTTACTTAGCTTTAATGTTCAGTTTCATGTATTAAACATTTCAATTTTGTTCATTCACAGTTATGGATATCCTGATGAGACCTACCTGAGCAGAGTCAAGGAGGAGCTGAAAGCTAAAGGCATTGAGTGAAATCTTTATTCTACATTAACTGATTACATTTTGAATATATTAATGTCTTCACAAAGTCTGATAAACACATTATAAAAATAAATAAATAAATGTACACACTTTGCTCTTTTAAAATAGATGTTGTGTAATCAGACCCAAAGGGTTAGTTTGAAGTTCACTAAAAACTGACTCCCATCTCTCATCTTTTAAAATGTAACTAACTGATTAACATTGATTTAGAAGGCTTTGTACATTTCTTGTTGATTATCTTTTCTTCACATACACTTTATAAACTAGCAGGTGTAACTGAACACATCTATGGTTTTTATAAAAAGCTGATCTATAGTCAACTATGTAAGATGATTGGATTTAGATTCTCTCAAATAAATGAATAAATTAAATTAAACAGACCTTGTTTTTTATTTGAATGAAAAAAAAAATCCACATTAATTACCATCAGTCTCATCCCATCATATAAATGTGGCAATTTTAACAATAGAAGCTAGTTACCTTTCACAGTCTTGGTAAGATTATGGTGTTGATATAATATTTAAACACTAACACATTATTTGTTACATACAGAATAAATTAGGAATTACAGAAGCAAAAATTAAAAACCCAAGATCATTATGTTACAATCAATCCATTTAGGTATTGAGCTGATAAGTTACCAATGTGTTTATTTAATACTGCTATTGGTATTTATACATTTTAAGCTTGTTTTGTCTATTCATTGTGGTAAAGTCCTTACTGTGTGTGTTATTATACATTTATGAAAGACATTTGTTACCTAATTTAAAATAGTAATAGTCCAACATCAATTACTATGGTAGATATAACATTTCTTAATGACTTAAAGGTGTAATAGAGTTATAGAAAACCAACATTCTTAACCTGTAACCTAATGATGTCACTGAATCATTACTAAAGGTTTATGCTGAAAATAATAACAGTATCAAGGAGAGGCGGCCACATTTTGTAAAAAGGCCACAAATGTATCTGCTGGTTATGGGGCTTCATGGATAATTTATAAAGTTTTAAGGTGGAGACCAGAAAAAGACAGAGAAGATAGAAAAAACATTGTTCTAGTGGATCATATATTAGCCAGAACAGCAAAAACGGAGATGGTGATTAGCTCTACAGTGATTAAGAAAGTGTCTTTTCTATAATAATATGTCTATGTGAAAAAGAAACTGGGCTGAAGAGAAATATTATACGGTAAAGAAAAATTATAAAGATAAAATCATAATCAGACGTTTTGGTTTAATTTGACAGTGCTTGTTCGCTTATAAAGAAAAAAAAATGTTTTTCTAAAGAGTCTCATAAGCTGTCTGTGGATTGATAAATAATTAGATAATTGCAGTTTTCTGTGTATATTTTGCCTAAACTGAAGAATAAGGATCCAATTAGTGTGTTTGACTGTTATGCAACATCTAATATCTTTAATTACAAGTTTTTTTTTCTATTTGAATCTTTTAAACTTGTGTTATAATAAGCAAATTCTCAAACAATTACATCTTTACACTTGTACTCTTGTGCCACCAGCTTAATAACATTTGGAGACCGGCTCTGAAAAGTACATTGTTTAATCATTAACATTAAAATGCAAACAGAAACCATGAGAGACGCTTTTCTTACTGATTTACTTCACTTTATAACAACAGGCTTTAAATAAAAACACAGACTGGCTGGTTGTCTGTACAATTCTAAAAATTTTATTTATGACAATATCTTATTTAGTTTGCAAAGTACTCCAGCAGAAATTAAACATTGTTCTTTTTTTCAGAAGAAANACTTAAATCTATATTTGTGTTTTATATTAACTTACAATTTATCTATGTTGTACTGTCCTTAATAAACAGTTTGTGTTTTAACATCAGCCGCTTTATTTCATCCCATATTGCCAGAATTGGCAATATGGGATGAAATAAAACCTGCTGTAATCTGTTCCCACTGTCTAAATCAGGACTAAAAAGGTCCCAGCTTTTTCATTTTTTGCTTATAAGCATCTTTTATGATGACAATTTATTCCTGAAACTTTGGATGAGATGGACCTTTATTTCTTAAAGTTATAAGGGGGGAACAAATTATAGCAGGCCACCTGCTGTAATATGTTCACCCTGTCTAAATCAGACAAAAAAGGCCCCAGTTTTTCCATTTTTGGCTTATAAGCATCTTTTATGAGGACAACTAACCCCTGAAACTTTGGAGGTGATGGACCTATGTTTCTTAATTTACAAGTGGAAACAGGCTTTACCAGCTGAGATTTCTAGATGTAAAAGTGTCTTAATGGTAGTTACTGAAGTAAAATTAAGCTGACAGCACCTACTCATTGCACGCTTAAGTAATTGTAAAGTGTGGAGCCTCTAATGTAACCCTTTAGGGTAATAACAAATAGTTGCAAAAAAATTAAATTCAAGGTTTTGCTTATAACTTCTCAATAAAAAAATAACAAATTTTATTACAAGATAGAAACAATAATAGAAACAACTTATCAAAACTATTGACATGCAAAGCACACGTAATCCTCGTGGGGATCTGGGTTTCCAACACATGGAAGGTGGAACCATCTGAAGCAGTCGTCACACTAAATCTGTTAAAAATAGAGAAAGAAATCAGCATAGAAAGTAGGGATATCTTACAAGCACCTGGCAATATTTTCAAATACCCAGATGTCTTCAGTGTCCGTGTTTTTCTCGCCACAAAAGTGACAGAGGTTGCTCAGGTCATCTGTAGGACATACCAAAATATGCAATGAGCCTTAATGTTTTTTGACAATATCACATCAAATAATACAATGTTAATGTTTCCAATAGTTAAAAGCAAGATACTAATCATGTAAGACAATCCAAAGGTAACTGAATACATACCTGTGTTGAGAAGGAGAGTGGTTGCAATTTTCATTCTGTGCTTGTTTATTTCTTTTTTATTTGTAGGAAAACAAATCTTTTCTTTTCTCAGGATTTTCTCAGCAAACTGTAAAAAGACAGATTTTTTTTAGAAAAAGAAATTTTAAATGTCTTTACAGACATTATATTGTACATTTCTAATAGGCGACGCAGCTTGAAACTAATCTAGATATTATAAGTTACGTTTATGAATCTTTTCAATTACACAGATATGTCATTTTGTACATAACTATGTCTTTTGCATATTTGGATGCCTTGCTTCAAGGTGAAAAGTCCACATGACGTGGCATCTGTCTGTTTGGGATGCATCACTGTGTCACAAGTCCACCTGGAGATGTTACATCCCATTTTTCGCATAAATGCCCTGTAAACACATTTAAAATTTTAATAATGCATGACTTTGCGTTTGTGTTATGCAAATTTGAAAAATAATTATTTCAATATCCATCCTTTCAGTGGTCCAGGTTTTCTTTGTTTGTGTTTTCATGATACATTTCAGTTTGAAATAAACATTACAATTTATTTTTATGAGGTCGTAATAGTCCTATTGTACTGGACTTTTGGATCAACCTTGTACAAGAACATAAAGCGCACATTTTTTATGTACCTTACTGCGTTTAGAGAAAGGTTCATACATAAGTGTAAGAAACACGTTGAAAAAATAAGCCTGCATTACTATTTAATCTCTGTAATGTAAACTGTGACATCCACAAAATTGGACATTATTCACAATAACATTTTTCAAATCAGGCTTTGTAAGGAAAGATATTTTGACATTTCTTGATTTTTCCTTGCCTCGTAGTAGCCCGACATGTCTGTATGTCCTGTTTACTCTCTCCTAGAGGATCCAGAAACACTAGCTACGTTTACATGCGCAAAATTTCCCCGATCCGATCCAAACCTTGGTTGATCAGAAATTCAAAAT